GCAAAGGCTGCAGGTACCCGCGCCAGGCAGACCGGGCTGCCGGGCCGGGACTAAGTAACCTAATCCTTCCCTAATCCTTCCCTTTCAGGGGGTCCTTGCACGATGACTTGTTACTGCCGTACTTTCCCTCTCGCCACGGCCCTCAGCACCACCACCGGTACGTCAGAGACTGCCAGCCCGTCAAGCACGGCAATCTAACGTACGAGTCCTGGCCCAGCGACAAGAGGACGGACGTTCCCGTGGCCGCTACAAGAACGTTTGTTTCTTACGTCCCACCTGCGGGTGAGAATCGCAAAGTGGTCTACGGCCACTTCACTTTTGCAAGAAACCCCCTCAGAACTTTCTCTGTGTTAGAGCCCGGCGGCACCGGAGGCTGCCAAGCTCACCGCAGAGTCCCCGTGGAAGAGACGGCAAAGCTTGGGAAGTGTCTGGTGGCCCAAAACGGCGGGTACTTTGACATGGGAACGGGGGAGTGTCTTGGGAACGTTGTGAGTGATGGAAGGCTGGTGAGAAACGCCAGAGGCCTGCAAAATGCTCAGTTCGGCATCCGGAAGGATGGCACCATGGTGTTCGGGTAAGAACGTGGGTAGCATTTCGGGAGTACTCTTCTCCCTCGCTGAAGAGACTAGTAGGAATCTCTAAGGCAGGAAGCGCTGCCTCCTTGGCCTCTCTCTCCCGGTCACAACACTAGGAGGCTTCATCTTTTAAATTAGAGATGTTCTACCTGTAACCCATTGAGCTATTTCTCTGGCCTTTGGCTTTCTTTCCTGGGATGAAAATAAGCTGGATAAATTATCCTGATCATCTGTAGTTACTTAGGCTCCTGTATCTACTTCCCCACCATGCTACAGCTACAGTTGATTGTGGTTGAAGGGAGAGAGGTCTCTGTCCTGCCCCAGTAAGAGAAGAGGCAGAGAGGGGACTAAACTGCTGTAGCTGCTCTGGCTACAGCACAGAATTACTGAGGTTGGGAGGGACCCCTGGATGTCTCCAGTCCACCCCTCCTGCTCCAGCCAGGGCCAGCTAGAGCAGATTGCTCAGGGCCTTGTCCAGTCAACTTTCTGACTACCTCCAGGGATGGAGGCTCCACGACCTGTTCCAGTGTTTGACACACCCCCACATTAAGAGAGTTTTTTGTTTTTGTTATTTTAAACTAGAAATGCAGATGTCTCCTGAATTGCTTGTGCCCTGCTGTGTGAACCTTCCAGCAGGTATCAGTGGTTAAAATCCCTGCCTGAGCAGTAGGGCCTGTGAACATTGAGCTTCTTCCAGTTGTCTGGAGAAGGCCTCATCTAGTACTTCCTGATGAGGTGGTCTCTGGCAAACACCCACCATGACATCCACCAGCCCGCATTGGTCTGCCCTCTAATCCTAACCCATAAGGCCTCAGCTGGCTCCGCATCTGTCCTAAGGCAGAGCTCCATGGATTCCCAACTACTCCCCCATATAAAGGGGTAACCTCCATCCTTCCCAAAGAGCCCGTAGCCATCCATTGCAGCAGCTCAGTTGTACGAGCTGTCCCACCACATCTCTGCGATCCCGAAGAGGTCATAGCCCTGCAACTTCATGCAGACCTTAGTTCATGCTGCTTGCTACCCATGCTGTGTGTGTTACCATACAGGCACTTCAGATAGGCACCCACTCATGCCGATCTCCCAGGAAAAGAGCAAGAGCTTCCCCCATAAGTCCTCCAGCCCTTCCTTATTTGGTATATATGCTTGTGGTGGCCCCCTTCTGCCCTCTTTCTTTTTTGGAGGAGGGCAGGGGGAAAGAGGGTGGATTTCAAGGTCTCTTGTTGACATCACCCTGCAGCCTTTGCTTGCCAACACAGTCCACCACTTCCCCACTTGACTGTGGACCATCATCTCCCTCCCCTGTCATTCTAAGTTTAGGGCTGCCCTCACCAGGCTGGCCAGCCTGTTTACAAAGATACTTTTGCCTCACTTGGTCAAGTGGGTGCCCTCTCTCCCCATCAGTCTTCAATCCTCAGGAAGGGTCCCATAGATGTAAATGCCAAATTTCTGTTGTCAACACCAGCTACGCAACCAGATCTTGACCCACAGAATCCATTCACTACTTCTCAAGCCCTTCCCTCTCACCAGCAGGATTGAGGAAAATCCACGTGGGCTGCCATGCCCTTGGCCATTGCCCTCAGGGCCGTTTAGTCACTCTTGATATGCTCCAGGTCTCCCCTGGCAGTATTGTTGGTATTTACATGGACAAGCAGCAGGGGGTAACAGCCTGAGGGCTGGAAAAGCCTCAGCAGTCTCTTCACAACATCCTGGATCTGAGCCCCAGCAAGCAACAAACCTACCTGGACAGGTTAGCAGGAGGCCTCTGTCCCTCGCAGCAGGGAGTCTCCAGAAATCACTCACCGCTTCCTCTGGTGCTGCTATGTGGTTCAAGCTCAGCCAGTGCAGATGCCTCCTTTGAAGGAGCTCCCAGCCCCTTGCAGGCTGTTGGGGCACTGAACCTACTCTAGGTGCAGATCTTCAGGTAGAGAACGGGTTACTCTCCTGGTGCGAGAACTTAACAATCTTCCAGACTTCTTCAGCACAGGAGCTTCCATTTGTCACCCCACTGAGCAGGCACTGTCCCTCCTTCTGGGCAGCTTGGGGTTCAGGCTCTTGTTTCTAGAGGGTATCAGAGAAGATCTTTCAAGCTCTTTCTCATAATCCTGCTGCTGTACAGTCCACTGACCTCTTCCTGTAGCTCACTACAGGAAAAATAACTCCTTAACCAGTACACACAAGGACATAATTTTTCTTGGCCCTAGCTTTAGTGAAAGGCACACCAGGTATCCCTGCAGCCTGAGGACTGAAGAACTGCATCCTCCCCCTGAAGCTCAGTCTGAGTCGAGGCCTCTGGCATGCCAGGAATAGTTGTTCTGTCAGTGTTGGAGACTGCACCCTGTGGTGTGTCACCACCACTGCTGACCATGCAGACCCATAGTGTCCTCAGCAGAGTTTCTGGCTCCCTGCTGCACAAGCTGCAGCATATGTTAGCTGTTTCTGGGAGCTGTGTTCTAGGCCCTGGCAGTTATATAGGCCTCTCCCTAGCACCAGCTGAGAGGATGCTTGACACTTCCTTAATTAGGAGGCAGCTGGAGACAAAAGCTCAAAGCACCCTTTGATCAGGAATAGCTGACAGAGCTCGTTAGAGACTGTTAGAGCTTGCTAGAAGTAAAAGCTTCCTGTAGCTGTCCTTTCCTGGCAGCAGCAGGCACCCTGCAGTTCCTAGAAGGGTTCCCAGAAGTCCTCTGACACTCCCAGAAGTTCCCAGATTTAGAGGCAGGGTTGGGAAACAGCTGTGCAAACTGCTGCGTTTGTTGGCTGTTCCTGTTAACTGCATTTCCCACTTCTGTTAGTCCATTACCACCTGCCTTCAGACCTCATCGGGGGCCAGGGAAACGTCTCTGTAGAGCCAAACTGACTGTAGAGCAGAGGCGGTAGCAGGCAGCTGTCCCCTGACAGCCCTGAGCACCACTGCTTTAGCTTACTTGGCAGAGGGGCTACTGCTGCCAGAGTTAGTGACGTTTCCACCTCAGTGTGGAGGCTTCTGCATCAGGGACCAACAGCAAGCCCAAGGTCACTGCTGAGTCTTTAATCCCAGCTCTTCCCTGACTCCCTCCTGCTCTTGCAGGATTTTCCTTGTTAAAGGGAGTCATGACACTGCCTATGTGGGTTGTTGCCTGCTCCGGGTCATTGTGGCTTCTGAAACATGACAACAAAAACAATTTTGATGTAGATAACTCAGATTGTCAAGGCAGCTGAGAAAGCAGTGCACGCTTGAGTCTTTCACTCTGTGTAATGATCAACACAACAGCGTACTAGCGCACATTGTTACCCCAGCCTAGGAAAGACGCTGCTTCTGCCACCTAGATTGGGGATCAATAGTTGCAAGCTTTAAAAGTTGACAGTCAATTAGTCCATGCTCAAACTGTTGTGCCATTTAATCAGTTTTCAGCTGTGCTAATTTTGTCTTGTGTTCACGTCTGATGGTTGCAGGGATTTCTTTTTCATGTGTTTTCCACTCATGTATCTTCAGTTATGCTTTTGTACAAAGTGGTGTGCTTTGTTCAGCTGCGCTCACATATATTAAAAAACTAAAAGTTGAGCTTCTGACCCCACAAGATGTGCAGTGCGGGTAGAGCAACTGGTTTTAAACAAAGTAAAAAAAGTTTGCAGAGCTCACAGTGAAAGCACAGCTGTTCAGCCCCAACCGTTGCTACTGTCCTCTTCTGTCTGTGCAAACGTTACTTAGCATCTGGTTATAAGGAGGCAAATGTTGCTCAGCGCTCTAATTCTTGAGATAAGAATATCCCTAGAGAAACATCCCCCAGTGACACATGACCCTTGTCATGGAGATGGTAGCTCAACAATCCTTCCCTACTGTCTAACAGTCTAACAGTAAAAGGTTTTGCTGGCAGGAAGAGTAGAGGATAACTCTTTCCCGGACAGAGGGGAACAGCATTTGGCATTGTCTTCCCCTCAGTGAAGGTGTGGGCCGTCTGGATGCTGTTAGCGAGAACTCTTTCAAAAGCTGTTTTGAAAAATTGATGCCAACTATCAGAAAGATGTTGAAGCTGCTTCCACGGGTTCCTGTGTATTTGGCAATGGCTCTGCCCTCATGTTTTGCCAAGTGCTTTCTGCCCGTAGTGTCCTGGCTCAGGTCCACTGGCAGCATCACTGGCAGGAGCTGTTTCGTGCACAGTGGTCTGGGTCAGTCGTTAACAGTGGCTTTGTACAGATTGCTGGGAGCAGGGTCCATTGCAGCTGCTCAAGCTGCACTACTTGGCCTATATTTTTGGATGTGACTAGCATTCATTCAGCTGTCTTCCCCCTCTCCCCACTTCTAGAGTCTGTTGGCAGCAGAAGAGACTTTAGCATGACGTTGCTGTGGCTGTGGGTAACCCTTCCTACTCTCTCTTTTCCTAGTTAAGGAAGACGTCTTGGATCAAGCGAACCCTTTTGTGCAGCTTGTGAGTGGGGTAGTTTGGCTCTTGAGAGACAGGGAAGTGTACATCAATCAGAGTCGAATGGCTGAGTGTGATGAAACTCAAACCACAGGTAAATCTTGCAAAGCCCAGCTTCAGCCTGCGTATAGATTCTCCTTGTGCTGAGGCTGCTGGGAGGCTGGGGGTGGGGGGTGGGAAGCTTTAGAAACTATGTTGTCTAGTTGCAGTGCTTGCTGCTCACTTAACAGGTCCAGATTTCTTCTGTGCTACTTTGTTACCCTGAGTCAATGGCAAGTGCAGTACAAGCAATGGGTTACCTGCAAGACCAGGCAGCACCCGTCTGTTCAGCATCGTTGAGCAGAATTTGCTGACAGCTGTAAAAAGTCTTAGCATGGCTGGTGTTAATGCTTGCCCAGGGAAACTCGAAGCAGATACTCTTGCAAGGGTTAGAGCTGAAGGCTTCTGAATCCTATTCCTTTCTCCCTGTACCAGCCAAAATCTTAACAAGAGCGCTTCTGGAAATCTTGTTCCTAGATGCGCTTGGATGGGCAAGAGGAAGCAGGGCTCTCTTTCTCATTATGTTTCAGTTTAGCTGAGCCTCTTGCTGGGAGCTGTTTTGCAAGCAGATGTGTCTAATCAGCCAATACTCTCACCCAGCTAGCGTGTGAATTATTCCCTCTCGTACACAGGAACCTTTGACAAGTTCATTAATGTGATATCAGCCAGGACTGCAGTTGGGCATGACAGCCAGGGGCAGCTGGTGTTGGTTCACGTGGATGGACAGACAGAATCCAGAGGGTAAGGCCAGAGTTGAGGTAAGGCCTTGGGGATACGAGACCAGTCTTTAAATTCTCTCCCTGGAATTGAAGGGACTCTGCTGCTGCCAGTATTGAGCTCATGGAGTCACTGCCTTAGAACCTAAAAGATAAATTGAAGGCACTGCTTAACAGTTTGTGGTGCTAGAAGGGCAGAGCCAGAAAAGGCTAGGGCAGCCTCCAGAGGGTGGGTGAGTCTGCCTGGGATGGGAAAACTTCTCCCCTTCCACTGAAGAGGGGGACCAGGCTTCTGATACAGCAGTTTCACTGAAGTCAAAAAAGCATGAATGCAAGTCTGTAAAATCAACAGCTGTTTACTTTTGCAGGCTTAACCTCTGGGAAATGGCTGACTTTCTGAGGCAGCAAGGAATCATCAATGCTATCAATCTGGATGGTGGAGGCTCTGCAACACTGGTCTTAAATGGGACCCTTGCAAGCTATCCATCAGAGCACTGGTAGGTGCTGGCTGCACGTGTCCAGGGCTGCACAAGGAACTGTGCAGCTCCCATTAGCATGCAGAGCTCAGTCCCGCTCCTCTGGTCCCCAAGAGAATCAGTCGTCATTGCTAGGAGTATGCAACGTACAAGCAAGGGACCGGTTTTCAGAGAGAACGGCTCTAAACTCATAGTGATTTAGTGACTACCTGGTTTTTCACTTAGTAATCTGGTATTAAGTTTAGCTGTTTTCAGACATGCAGCAAAGCTGTTCCGCACGACTGAGTGGCCTGATGTGGGAATCAGATAACGAAGCAGCTCTTAGACTGGGAGATTCAGAGTTGCACATTCACAGGAACTGGCTGAGACCTGTCGACAGTTTATTCATGGAAGAGAAACGCTGACTTGCACATCCTGCCCTGGCTAGCCCAGCTATCCTTTTCTCACTCATGCCATGGTCAGGATAGCTAAAGAATATATTACTTGAAATTTAGGTTTTTAGTTGTTTCTGAGAGTAAACAAAAAGTGATTTAAAATTCAGTTTGCAGTCAGACGGTTGAAAGCCAAATGGTACTACAATCTTAATGAAGTCACTTACATCAAAACAAACAGTAGCTGAGTGAAGGTATGTTAAATACCACAGTTAGGGAAGGACAGTAGCAGGCCCTGCTTTAACAGAGACTTCGTTTTCATGTTGCTTTCTGTAATTTTGTGTCTGAAACAACTCCTATCCAATAGGACTCAACACTTTATTAAGGATGGAAAAATATAAAACTAGATTTGAGCCAGTGTTCTAATTTTCTTTTTTGTCAGTTTGAATTTGGGTGAAAAATTTGTGGATTACGTCAACTGGTTTCACATAGGGCTGGGAGCAGCAAGGTGCTAGCACACCTTATGGTACCATCTTCTGTCCCCAGCTCCTTTGACAACATGTGGCGTTGCCCTCGGAGCATCTCAACAATTATGTGCATCCATGAGCCAGCCTGCGAGCCTGCAGACTGCAGCGGTCACGGGGACTGCATGCAAGGGAGGTGCCACTGTACTGGGGACTTCTGGAGAGGCCCTGCCTGTGACATCTTGGACTGCGGCCCTTCCAACTGCAGCCTGCATGGCATCTGCACTGACTGTAAGTCACTATGGTGTGCAGAGAAGGCACAAGACAAGAGTCTCCTCTGACAAAGAGACTCTTGTGTGTAGCACTAAGGGAAGCATGGACCTGGGGGAATGTATTCATGCAATATATTTATTGCTTACCTTATCAGAGCAGTCAAGCATGTTACAGTACAAGCATCATTTGCCACCCCCACCCTGCTTGCTGGGGCCTTATTGGTGTGCCTCAATGCACAGAGGCAGCAACTTGTCCTTTCCCACCCTGATTTGAAGGATTGTAGCTGCTGTTTCCTCTCACAGGAATTAGTCCCAGCAGCAGCTGCTTCCTTCACTGCAGAGAGCAGCACTCACTGGGGAGCCCAGCCCTTTAGAGCTGCAGGTGCTGATGGTCCAGCCAACCCGGGTCCATGACCCCACAAGCCAGGTGGGGCTGTTTGCCTCAAGCCTGGTCTTGCTTTCTGGCTGTATGGAGCTATTCTCTCCCTTTCCTTTGCCGTCTGAGGCAGAAGTGGAGATTATCAGAACCCGGTGCCTTAAGGAGATGGCAGGGGTGCTAGGCTGGGGCTCAGATCTGGAAGCTAGATCTGTAACAAGACTTCAGTTCAAACTTTATGTCTCAGCTTCTCCTCCTGCCCCCTGGGGGTCATGCTCCTGGTTTTCTTCGTAAATCTGTTGATAAGAAGCGCAATGTGCTACGCTGTGTGACAGACAGAGCAGCGGAGTTCTGCCCTCTGCCCTTATTGCACCTTCTCTTCTGTATCCAGCTATCCTGCTTTGCTGCGTCATGGTTTTTACAAGCATGTGATTGCTGCTCTTCTGTAAACTTGTCTTGCATCTAGGGGGCTGCTGTGATATACTATTCCCAGCTTCTGCTCTTCATGTCCCTGTTTTTGTGTTTCTTTGCTACCTCTCTGATTCAACTCAACCAAGTTTGCAGCAGTGAAATGATGCAGTGGGCTGCAGGTGTTGCTAATACCTCCAGTCAGCATGAAGTGTCACAGAAAATGGTGTGTTTTGCTGCTATAGTGAGTATTTGAAGCCAACTTATTTGTGCAATCAGGCTTCCTCTTCTATGGGTTCCCTGACAGAAGCAGCCTGATCTCAAGTGACAAAGACACCCCAGGAAGCTCCTAATTTTAAGTTCCTGCTATCTCTGTGCCTTTCTCTGTTGTTGTTAATGTCTGTTTGTGTGTATTTGCACAGCTGGATGCCTGTGTGATGCTGGCTGGACTGGCAGCAACTGCAGTGAAGGTAATGCTGATTCCACTCTACTCTGAGTCTTCATAGCTGCCAAGAGGATAGTCGGAACCACTTTCTATGGGCTAGCTGCCTGCAGTGGTGGGGAAGGGCCTCTGATCTCTCGTGAGGGAGTAAAGGGAAAGGCTGCACAGTGTGCTGTTCTTTTTCTCAGAGGGAGTTTAACTGCACCCTGAGAGTCCCACAAGTGTCTTGGTGCTAAGCACTTTAAGCCCTTAGTAAACTACCCTTTTTTCTGCCACATGGAGTCATGGTTCCCAGGTGAGACATGTTGTTCCACATTCAAGGCACAAGCTGCTTCTGTTCTCCCAGCAGCCGCTCAACACCCTGTGGCAGCAAATACCGAGTGGGTATTGGCATGGGGCAAAACTGCTTGCATTTGTACATAGCACTGTACAAGCGCCCTCATGAGCTCTGTACTTGTCTCTTGCAGCTTGTGCTAGTGGTTTCTATGGGGATGCTTGCACCCAAAAATGCCAGTGCCAGAACGGTGGCCTGTGTGACCCTGTGCATGGCACCTGCTCCTGCCCAGCTGGATACTATGGAACCAGCTGTGAGCAAGGTAAGGGCTGCTCCGAATAACAGTCTGGGCCGAGAAGAGGCTTTTTTTTGTTTGAGCCACCTTGCTTAGGAAGGGGAAGCACGAGGTCTGCCTAACAGGCTCAGACCTGGACTTTGCAGCTGGAGCTTAACCTCCTGATTCCTACCTCTTAAAGACTTGTCCCTCCTACCCAAATCAGCTAAAAAGAAAAGGAGGGAGCACAGAGAATTTTTTTCTCATTACTAGAAAATTTTGGACCACTGTTTAGTCTTTGCCCAAAAGAGCTGAGTTGCTTTCAGTAACAAAGCTCATGAACCAAGGTATGCAACTGCCTTGAGCGTGACAGCGTCACTCCAGTCCCCACCTGTAGTCCAGGCTTGAGGTGGTCTAAGGCAGAGACTGTGAAAGGCTCCAAGGGGCCATTTTGGCTTGTGCCCTTTGAACTCCAGCTTACAAGTGCTAGAAGTAATAGAGCCAGTGATGTTTTTATCTGTGTAGCCACTCCAGCTTTTTTGAAGTACTTGAGGCTCCTGTGAACCTGACTGCACAGCCTGCTCTGGTGACAGCATGAGTTAATTACAGCGTGGGTGTAAATTTTGTGTGTGCATGGTTAATTTAGCGATGCTTTGTCCTCAACCTGGGAACGCTCAGCTAGTCTAATCCCTGATGTTAGAAAACCTTTGTGTGGAAGCAAATGAAATGACAACAGATAATTTAGTTTGGTGCTTTCAGGGCTGAAGGAGAAAGCAGGGTGGGGAGGCAGAATGCCTTTGTCAGGCTGCAGGAAACCAGGGAATCAGGGAATGGAAACCTGAGGGCTCAGCACATCTGACAAGTCTGCTGGGTGCTCTTACCCAAACCTGAGTACCTGTTTCCCTCTAGGAATCAGCTGATGCACAGATGTCTCCCCCCCTTTTGCCTGAGCCAAACAGCTCAGGCAAAGAAGAGAACTGTAGCTCAGATGCGGCAGGGAGATAAACGCACTGCATGCAACAAGGCCAGAGACTGCTGTGGTGATAGAAACAACATGAATACCTCAGTCAGATACATGTGGGGTTTGAGCCTCTCCTAAAGCTCTGAGTGTGCCTGTCTTTCCTGACACAGTTGATAAAACAGGCATGATTGAGTTGGAGGCAGGGGAAGCTCCAGAGCGATGGATGAGATGGATTCAAAGTACATGGAGCTTTGAAAATGATTGACTTTTGTTTTTAATCAATTCCCTAGCATGCCCCATGGGCTGGTATGGGCCAAACTGCCAGAAACTATGTGCATGTGAACACATGTGTCCCTGTGACCGAGAGACAGGCAGCTGTAACATCACCTATGAAGTGGCAATACAAGAGCAGCTAAACAAAGGTACTGCTGATTACTTTGGCTGCTTTTTTTGTTGTTGTTGTTGTTTTTAAAGATAGTTGAAGAACAGCTTTACTGTTTGTTTAGTTAGCAGCTTTGGGTTGCTGTCACCTTACCTAAGATTGTTCTGTTTCAGTGAAACTTTACCTCCCCCACCTTTTTCCCCCCTCTCTCTTCTTTGTTTTCCAGCTGGGCGATGTCTGGCTTCCCAGAGCAAAGACAATTTCTCTCTGTCAGAGTAAGTGTGTAATACTGCTGGGTGACGGGGCAGCAGGTCAGTAGAGTATGGAGACCTGCTGCTTTGTTACCCACTGCACATGTGTTCTGATTTTATTATATGATGGGAAGGGGAAGGCTATGGAAGGCAAAGTGGTAAAAGCCTAACTGTAAGACAAGTGCTCATCTGAAGCCACCATCAGTGACCGAGTTCACACATTGAGCCTAGCACTGAACAGTTGTTGCACTTAAAGAGGAGCCACCTTTCCTCTTCAACTGATACACTGTACATCCAGCAGAGGACAGGGGGCTTGAGGAAAGCAACTGGAATCTTGCACCCTAGACCAACTCCAGAGCACAGCTTCTGTAGAACTGGCGGAGCTGCAGTCTCTCTGCAGGCCCAGCTGTTCACTTGCTACAGAAGTGGAAAGCTAAAAACATCCATTTGAAACAAACAGAACCTTTTCAAAGCACGTTCTCACATGCCTGCGAGCAGAGCCACAAGCTTGTGATGACAGAAGTACAAACCCTGAGAAATTGTTTGCACACTGGGAACATCTGAAAGCAGAGAGGGAGGTGTTACTTACATAGGTTTTTTTTTTTTTTTTTTTTTTGTCTGATAGAAGAACCTGGACCTCCATAACCTCCATCTTGGCTCTGCTTCTTGCAATTAGCGCTCTGGGAAACATAGGCCTTTTTCTCAAAGCAAGGTCAGAGAGGCAACATGAAAGTGGGAACTACCTCTACCACCCCCTGAGGGAGATGAACGGAGAAGCCAGTCATACCTCTGCCTGTGAGACAGAAGATGCTCAGGACCAAAGTCAGGCACTCCTTTAAGGTCATGGCTGGAAAGAAACAGAAGGTATTTACTCTGCACTGTGTATTGCCTCTAGGGGCTACTTAGACCTACAGTGCAAAACTGCTGACAAACGCAAGAGCAGCAGCAAGATATTAGTCAAAACAGCTTCCTTGCTTCTTGCCCTGTCCCATTCAGTGTTGTTAGCGTCCCTCCCTTCCTCAGCTGCTCTGGTTGGGCCATGCAAGGGTGCAATGCCATGCAGCCAGCTTCCAAACACAGGGCCTTGTTACCCATTGCACATGTGAACGAGGTCCACAGCTGCAGCAGAAAAGGAAATGGGCTGGTTCCCTGCAATATTTGAGGGAGACACATCATAAATGTAAGCCATAAGTACTTCAGAAAGGTCCCTTCTCTCTCACCTGAAAAATGGACAAGTATTTTTAAGATGTGGACAAAAGCCTGCATGTTGCCCTAGCATGAACTAGATTTAAGGAAGCTGGTTTAAGGATTTTGCAGTTTATAACTGGCTGCCCTTCCCCAATGAGCTAAGATTTTTGTCATCAAAAAGAACCGATATAATAGTTTTAAAATGTTGGAACAGGTGCAGCACACAACAAAACCACAACATACCTCATTCTGGCCACAGCATTAGGCTCAAAGGCTGACAAAAAGCACTGTGGCTTTCTTGCATCTCACTTTCTTCTCCTAGCCTGTGCTGACTGCAGGGCAAGAATGTTTTCTTACCGCATTCCTAGTCCTGGAATGAGTCTAACAAACAGGTGTTTCATGAGCCCTGCATCTTTGGTGGGTTCTTATAGCAAAATGAAAAGCCTTGTGCCAGTTCAAAGATTTAATTCTTGTATTCTCTTATTCCTTCTGGAAGCCTGTGTGCTCCACTCAGCTGTATGACCTGCCACTGAGGGCCCAGAACCCATGCTGTCCCCCACCTGGAGAATGGGAGAGCGCGGCAGCCCAGCGTGGCCAGCACGACACAGCTGAACAGTGGGCCTGGACTCAGTCACATCCCAGTCGGATCATCAAGTGCTTTACCACCACTGGGCCGTCCTCAGCCAACGGCACAGTCTGCACAGCAAGAGCAACTGCCACTGTAAGAACTGCCCCTACCTCCTCAGAGGGGAAGGCTGCCATTAGCAAGCGGGGACAGTAAGTATTTCAAGCAACCCAAGGTACAGAACATCTCAGCTGGGAATCAGCCATTTTGCTAGAATACATCCTTGCACGATACATTCAAAAAAATACGTATTAAAGTTGGCTTCCTTGTGAAGGAAACTAGCCTTTAATATGCTACTTTAGTGCTGCAAATTAGGTTTCTAAAGCCTATCTGAGCCTGAATATTAAAGTGTTGTATGCACTCTATTTTTATCTCTTCAAAGATTATGTAATTTTTGTGCTGCAGTTGGCATCAAATCAACCTGTACACTGAAGATTCTATTTTTTTATTATTTACAGAAGATTTGAAACTTGAATAAACTCAATTAGTGTTAACTGCCTGAAAACTGAATTCTTCATAAATATTAAAGTCGGGCAGAATGAAATAATCCTTTCCCAGTTAAGTCCAGTTGGCAATTTGAACCCACCAATCCCTCTCATTTTAAATAACTAGCTGTACTGCAGGATGATGTGTACCAGCCTGCTTGGTGTAAAAAACAAACAAAGAATGCTGGCTCTACAGGAAAACAACAATTAAAGTCCTCCTTGTCTTTTAAAGGTAGAAATAACTGGATACAAACAAGACCTACCTCAGTTCCCATGGGTACTTAAATGGACCAGCACAAATGCTTTAGCTTTTCAAAATTCACCACAAATTTGAACAATTCAGTTGCATCAAACAATTGCACATGTTCTTTAGAGATGCTTTTTTATTTCCAACATACAGAAATGTACAGCTCCTACCAGAACCTACAAATACTGTAACTAAGTACATATTTAGCATCAGATTTGTTGTCAGGTAACACGTTACAAAGCACTTTGCGTTTTGCTAGTGTGCTCTTAAAGGAGGGGTTTTTTTTTGGCTGAGGAAAAAAAATCAGGACCTTGATATATAAAAATAAAGACAGCTGCAGAGTAGAGAAATACAGTGCTTGCTAAAAATGTAATGCCCGTTTAATTTATATGTACTAATAGCTTGGGAGTGGATGTTAATGTCATAAAAGCCAATGCATGTCATGATACCAATTTAGCCTTCCAAAAGATAAATAATTAGGAAGAGGAATCATCACAAACATGCACTGGAAGCTAACAGCATGCAGGAATCTTTGACAAATGCCCGTCAATTTCAGTCCTTAGAGTCTAATAGCACAGTTTTTAGCTCACAGTATAAACATTCTGAATGCTAAAGAAGCATGAGCTAGTAAAATGCATTTTGAAAGGGATTCCTCTGACCCTAGTGTGGCTGGAGTTAGCTCCTGTGTCAATACGTAACAGCTTAACACCTGAGTTGAGTAGACAGGCTCACTTCCCAAGGAGAATTGCAACAAATGTTACAGATCTGAAGTGACTGGATTATGGTATTAAGATCTTTTGATGAATAAACCAAGCAAGTCTTCAAAAAATAATTCAGACCCTCTCTTAACACTCAAAGCCAGAACTAGAGGGTTGTACCATTTATTATGCAGAGCTGACCAATGAATGCAAAACTCCACAGTATTTCAGCTATTTAATTAAAACATGGTTTATAAATTCTTACTAAAAGATGTTTTTTCCTAAGACTGTTACCCAAAGGGAATTAATACAATTAAACTGGCCAAGGTAAGACACACAAGCCTGAAATGAGCAAGGCAGTGTCTGCAACTATGCAGTAAATGCATCTGTGCAGCCGAAGCGACTGCAGTAGCTTAGAGCATTCTCATGTAATGAAAACTGCAACCAGGATTACTCTTCCCCCACAACAGCGATTACACTGGAAGCCTGAAACAAGGACATGTACTCTTAAGTGTCTCCCTGCTGACAGTGCAGAAGCGCTTTAGAGTGCGGCTTTTCAACTTAACCCTTGGCACACAGAGTGGTAAAGAAACCAGCAGTGTTCCTTCTGCATCTTTCTGAACTAGTCTCCCTCAGACCTTCTACAAGGCTAAGCTGTTCTGTCTTAAACCATTTTTTAAAAAGCCCTTTCAAACCTGAAGAAACACCAACATGTTTAGCCAAAATTATTCAGTCACAGTGTTCCCAGCTTTGCCCCGAACAACAGCAGTCTAGTCTGGCATGCTTTTCCATGGCGTATCCCATTTTTGAAGTGCTCTGTGTTGCTCTTTCCCAGTCCTAGTGTTGCAGAAGCTAGTAAATGGTGGGGTGGGGCACACCTGTAGAAATTGCTAGGAATAAAGGTTTCAAATATGGCCTTATTTAATTGTAAACAATGGCATAACACTTTGTACCTACAACGGTTTCTTTTCTCTTGAGCTCTCATATCACCTAAGAAACATTAAACATGGCAAAAGCTCTTTGAGGTAGGTGTTACATTTTTACATATGGAATATCCCAAACAGGGAAAAGCCCTAATTTACTAAGTAGCTAATTTTTAAGTATCCAGCTGATACCTGAACACAGCCAGAGCTTACTGACCTTATCTGAAATAACAGATGCTGGGATACTTCTTAGAAGCAGGGAGGGCCTCGTTGCATTGCTAACTCAGCACCCAAAGCTGAGTTTGTTCTTGAAGGTGCTGGCTTATGAGATTTACAGGAAATCACTGTGAACAGAGTCAGTAGAATCCAGAAATACTTCCAGTCTTACTCTCAACTCACTGGAGGTTGCTATGAAGAAAATAATGTGTCTTATTTTCTAAAGCACTCTAATACAATTTTGGGGGGAGAAGGGAAGAAGCAATTCTGCTTTTCTTACATCTGCAGTTCAACAAAGCCAGGTTTAAAAAGCACAGTACAGCAGCAGCCATAACATCCAGGCTGTTACTCCCTTTCTCCTGTTATGTTAGCATTCAGAAAAAAAACACATTAGGGGAAAAAAATCCATATTAAATTATTTAAATTGGTAAATTAATCTAAGCAATTTTGCCTAAAATTGACTAGGGAGAGATCACATGAATTGCTCCGCAGATTCAAGCGGCGGTCTCTTGTGGGGCAGAAGAGTGATAGTTATCATTCATCAGCACAGCTAGGTACAGGAAGAAAACTTGTTCTTAGCCCCAAAGAACAAGAGGGGAAAGCCTACCATTGTCAGCTTACTTGCAACCTCAACCATTCTGTAATTCTGTTATATCCCAAGAGTCACCAAGATGGAGCTGTGCATAGGACCAAGCCCTTCACCTCTCTTTTTCCTTGGCTAATTCAGAAACAAGGGGGAGTGTAACAAGTTCCAGATACCTCGCTGACAGAGTTAAACACTCAAAACTTTTACTAGTGGGAAGAATGTGGCACATGTCACATTTTTAAATTAAAAAAAAAAAAAAATCCAATTAAATGGAAAAGTTACTTAACCAGAGTAAATCGAGGACAAAACAGAAAACAGGAAAATTACTGCCATGAAATACTCAAACTAAGAAACAAGCCACAAAAAGCTGAAACGCTGGAACAGAGCACAGAGGAGGGCCTGGTTTTGCTGTTGGAGGTGTTGGAAATCACTTTCAAACCGAATATTTCTAGCAATAGAGTTAATTATGGCTAAAGGCATAAACATGCATATTAATTCCAGAGCAACTCTTGACCTTTAATGGCAAAGGTAATAGTTTTCTTTTTCCTCGTGTCAAGACTCCAATTATGCTGAAATAACAGAGACAGAAGTTTCATTCATCGGAGAGAGAAGGTACAAACGAAAGGACGTTTGTACAAAGGAAGGTACTCATGAAAGGACTGGGGAATTCCCTGAAATCATAACTTTCCAGGGGGTTTGTATAACTAAGTTAACTGTTCAGCTTTCACAATGAAAGATGCAAGCTAGGAGATTAGCTTTCTTGGCTCTGTTTCTTTAAAAAAAAAAAAAGACACCCAAAAACAACAACAACAACACCACAACAAAACGCAACAACAAAAACACAAAAACCCCAAAAATTTATATAAACAACATTCTTCATCTCCCGCTGTTCCAATTATTGGGGCACTTTTTTCCTTTGTCAATGCCTGGTACTTCAAGACTAATAACTAAAAAAACAGGGTTAAAAAGAATTATTTCACATGTATGTTCTCCTTACTTGCACAGATTCTATCACCCTTAATAAGGCTTTGTGAGAGGGAGAAAATAACTCTTTACTGAGAAGTATGGCCATGGATACATGGATTGCTGAGCTGGATGAAGAAACTACAATTCCACCATCACCTCCGCTGTTTCCCCAAGGACCCTTCAACCCAGAGCCATTTGTACCGTTCCACAGCTCTGAAAGAAGGGACTGGAAACTTACTTATTTTTCAGTCTGGGTTAGTCATTAGGTCACGGCAGTCATTCAGCTGGGATAGCTTGAACAGCTGCATGCAGCAATGCCCTCATGATCCCTTCTATTGGCAGATTTGTGCAGAGGTAACCTCCAGCTGGTGGAGCTGAAGTCTTCACAAAGCACAGCTAGATCCTGAAACAGACATCTGCCCATATCACACACGTCTTGCACGTCTGCTAATTGCAAATAGTGCCTAAGAGCAGTTCAATATTTGACATCTATTCTTCTCATTTTACCACCTAGACAAGAATAAATATAACTTCTCTGCTATCTAAAGTGATAAATGGATCACTAGCACCTTTGCTACACATCTATTCTCTGACATAATCAGTAGAGATTATGGACAAACATGATACTTGTGGTGCATCTTCAAGATGCACTGCCTTCTTACAACTCCTGAACTAATTTCTTGCTTCTTAATACTAGGAAGCATCCCTTTAGAGTCCAAAGAGCTATTCCAACAAGGAACTGTCCCCACCTTACCTTACATGAAAACATGACACACAACCCTTATCCCATATGCCATGTATGATACAGCCCTTAAGAACATCCAGCAATCACAAAGATTAGAACTGAAGTAGAAAGGTTCTTGGGATTGAAGACAATCAGTTATTCCTTTCTAAAACAAAAGTTCATCCCTTTAAGAAAAGGGATTGGATTTAATAAATAGTCATATTTTTCAAATTAAAAATAAGTTAAAAATTAATTTAAAACAAGCTAGTATTTGAATAAATATGGTTCACTAAGTGCTTAAATACACACATGTGCTTTTTTTTTTTTAAAAAAAAGATTTCTCTTCAAGTTAGCTCATGTTTTAAAGAAGCAAATTCTATAATACTGCCATAAAATGTTGTGCCTTCAGGAAATAAAATATTGCTTTTCTTAGCCCTTTAAAATTTGAGTCAGTTCCCATCCGCTCAAATAAGATCGGTCAGAGCTACTCATTATTGCTTGTAAACCTGAGGAGAAAGGAAAAATAGTCTATCTTCAGGAAAGATTTGCTTACTGGAGGCAGGTTCTCTGCCTATACCTCCTAGAAAACAGTTTGTATTTTTGTACCTCAGTGGGATTAAAAAAAAAAAGTCAAAAAAACAAAAAAACCCCACAAATTTCCTAATAGCATCCAGTTGGATCAGAAGAGGTTTTATGTTTGACCTGGAATTGATTTTTGAAACATGCCATATCTGTATTAAGGTATTTACAGTTTGCTTTAAGTCCCTGCTGCTGAACTGCCCACTTTACTTTCTGATGTGTAAGTGGTACCCTGGGCACCCAGAAAACTAGATTAGTTCTGCTACACATGAATAATCTAGTCCTACAGATCATAATAGATAAGGCAACATCAGTCTCCTCTACCACGCGT